ATTTTCATGTATCGTATTTTTTCCTTTTTACAGAAAAAAAATCTGAAAATAGAAAACAAATATAATTTCAAAATTTTTAACTAATGAGATGTCTAATTATTATTGGTCGTTTAAAATCCTATGTGGACACCTTTAGGAGCTTAGAGCCTCAACTTTTATATAGTATATATTGGATGCATTTTCTCTTTTCCTTTTATTATTTTAAATAACCTCTATCCTTTCAGTTTTATTTTTATCTTTCTAATTCTAGTTTAACTTCTAAAAAATTTAACTCATTTTTTCTGCCGAGAAGTATATGAACATTTCAGTTATGATTTATGAATTGTAGGTAAAATTAGCAAATTAGTAAAAATATTAGAATATTTTTAATATGTTAGAGTTTAATTTGTATGTTTTTGTTAAATAGTTAAATCATAATATTATATATAATACATTCTTACATAGAGTTGTAAATGTGTATTTTTAAATTAAAAAAAAATAGAAACCAACATCAACAATATTGTAAAAAAAATTGGTATTTTGTGTCTCTTTCTTTATTAATATATATGTAAATATTTAAAATATATACTAAAATTGATATCATTAGTTATATATGATTTGTGCCCCATATAAAAAGAATCTCAGGATCTGCCACTGTATGTTTATTATTATCCTTTAAAAAAAATCATATAAGTATATAATAGGGGGATTTGCACAAATAACATTTTTATGATACCCTTTCTACAAATACTCTCTCTGTGTGTCCATTTTCAAAAATATCTTCTTCAATGTACAAAATGACTAAATTACCCTCTTTTAATATAACCCAACAAAAATAATACTCCTACTGAAAAAATTTCCCACCAAAAATTTTCAGCCACAATTTTTTGAGAATTTTTGAGAAATACCCCTTTTGGTGTACCCCTTTTTAAAAATACCCCTTTTATCTATCTATTTTCAAAAATACCCCTTTTTAAATATAAAATTTTTTAATGTTTTATATAGTTTATAAGGTACTTCTATATAATAACTACTACTGGTAAATTCAATACAAATATTTTAAATAGTTTTAAATCGTTTTTATAAGTTTTATAAGGTTTTTAAAAGGGTTTATACGGTTTTTATAAGGTTTTTATAAGGTTTTTATAATTTATTTTTACACTATTTATGAAAGGTATATAAAGTTTTATAAAAATATAAAGGTAATTTGTGTATATATTTATAAGCTTACACACATATTTGGATAAATTTCAATATGTTTAGTGGATTTTTTGATAAAGTTTGAAAAGGGGGTATTTTTAAAAATAGGTATATGAAAAGGGGTATTTTTGAAATTCCCCCCAATTTTTTTGCAATTCCTTAAAAAGCTTTTAAAAAACCTTGTAAATATTTTTAAAACCCTTAAAAAATCTTTTAAAAACTCTTGTAAATCTTTTAAAAGTCATCCAAAACCTTTCAAAACTTTCTAAACATTTTAAAACCTTTGTATATCATTTTATAACATTTGAAACAATTGTAAATCGCTTTAAACCCTTTATAAACATGATAAATCATTTAATAAAAACTTTTGTAAACTTCTAAAACCCTTTAAAAACCCGTGTAAATCCTTAAAAACATTTTAAAGTCTTTGTAATGCCTTTAAAAACCTTTGTAAGCCCTTTAAAAAACATTTATAAACTTCTAAAACCCTTTTAAACCTCTTGTAAATCCTTTAAAACTATTTTTAAATCTGTGTAAATATCTTTAAAAATCCTTGTAAATCCTTTTAATACCATTTTTAAATCCTTGTAAATGCCTTTAAAAAACTTGTAAATCCTTTTAAAAACACTTTTAAATCCTTTTATAAACCCTTTAAAAATCCTTGTAAATTTTCAAAAACAATTTGAAAATCTTTTAAAAATCCTTGTAAATCCTTTAAAATATGTTATAAACTTATAAAAGTTTTTAGAAACCATTGTAAATCCTTTAAAAACAATTCAAAACCATTTGTAAGCTTCTAAAACCTTTTAAAAACCATTACAAAGCGTTTAAAAACCATTAAAAACTATAGTAAATCTCTTTAAAAACCCTTGTTAATCCTTTAAAAGATCTTTTAAGAATCCTTGTAAACCCTTTTAAAACAAATTTGGCACAAACAATTTTGTTTGATTTTTTTTTTTTTGCTGGAAAATTTTTGTGGAATTTTTTTTAGCGGGAAAAGTTTCGTTGGGGGGAAATTTTAACGGGAAATTTTTTTGGAAGGAATATTATTTCAACTACGGATAAAATGACCATTAAAATTTAAAAGAGGGCAACAATGAGAATGAGATAAAAAGATGATAGTTTTGCAAAAGGTTATCATAAAAAAGGTATTAGTAAGATTTTTTTTTGAAATATGAGGACCACTAGGCAACAAGATTTCAATTTGGCAGTAGAGGAAACAAATGAGTGGACTGAGATTTGGCTAGAGAAAGGTCAGATTCATAACATGAATTTACAAAACAGAGATACAGTTTCTTAGTGGACAAAAACCGAGAGAAGGGTATATCAAATGTAACTATGATTGTAAATTTCATCATGATGATCGAGGTTCTTACTCATCTTGGATTGCTCGAGATGCAAAAGGCTTTTTTCTAACTGCAGGTTAGAGCATTGGTGCAAAGTATTTAACAATATTGCAAGCAGAACTTCATAGTCTTGTTATATCAATGTAGCAAATGTGGATAAAAGGTTACAAAAAGGTTCTTTCTGAAGGAGATGATGTGTTGGATAGCAAACTGGTTAATGGAGAAGGTCTCAACGTCAATGTTCACAAACTGGATAAGAGAAGTTGAAGCTTGGACTTCTAAATTTGAATCAATGGAATTTCTTTGGAAAAGAAGAAAAAATAACACAGCTGCAGACCAACTAGGTAAAGAACCATTTACAAGTCATTCTTCCTTTTGTTTCATATTTTTATTATAACGCCCCGACCGCCATCTCTCCAGTGGACCCTATTTTCACCACCAGCCAATGGGCCCACCTCTCTTAATGGGCCTCATGTCCTCTCACTAGGCCCATGAGCCCATCAATACCCGACGATCGGTTTGCCACGTCCGGGAGGCTTAAAGACTTGTTTACCGACCCTACAAATCACCACATGATCTTTCCCTGTGTTTTGGCCTCACTCACACAGTTCTGACAACCACTTCCCAGAAGGTCACCCATCCTTTGACTACTCCAGCATAAGCACCCTTAACTGTGGAGTTCTCTCAGGACCCTTGACTGAAAAGATAAGTGCACTTTGGTGACATAGGTGGCCAAATCAATTCATTTAAACCTCTACGCAACCGGGGTCTCACAATTTAACAACCCGCCCAGTGTGATTCCGCCACATGACACACCCCGCCACATGGCAACCTTACAGCGCTGCAGCGCATCGACCCTAACCTCTCTCCTGTGGGCCCAAACTGCGCAGCCCACTGCTCGCAGCCTCCTGGCCCACCAGGTAGGTTATTGGTGCGCCTGGCGTTCCTCGAACTCAGGTCCTCACCCTTTAACAACCTTCCCACTTGACAAGATATTACAGATCAATTGGTGACAAATTCCACGGTGAGAAGGTTGTTAAAGGGTGAGGACCTGGGTTCGAGGAACGCCAGGCGCACCAATAACCTACCTGGTGGGCCAAGGGTGCATGTGGGCCAGGAGAGTGCCTACATGCGCAGTTTGGGCCCACAAGAGAGAGGTTAGGGTCTATGCGCTACAGCGCTGTAAGGATGCCATGTGGCGGGGTGTGCCACATGGCGGAAGGAATCCCACTGGGCGGTTGTTACATTTATATCCTAGCCTGTCTTGTAAACATTATTCATGAAGATCATACTGTCAAGACCACAGTTTGCGGAGAGGTTTAAATAAATTTATTTGGCCACTTATGCCACCAAAGTGCACTTACCTTTTCGATTAACGGTTTTGAGAGGACTTCAGAGTTAAGGGAGCTTATATTGGAGTAGTCAAAGGATGGGTGACATTCCGAAAAGTGGTTGTCGGAACTCTGTGAGTGAGTCCAAAACAGAGTGAAAGATCATGTGATAATTTGTAAGGTCGGTAAACAAGTCATTAAAGCTTCCTAAACGTAGCAAACCGACCTTTGGATATAGATAGACTCACGAGCCTAGTTAAAAAAATTTTTTTTTGTTAAAGTTGGTCTTTTCATAATGGTCTAATGGATTCAACCATTTGAAAAATCTATGCTAATCGACAATATCCTTTTTCTTTACTTCTATAGTTATGATTTTAAAAGTTTGACTGGTTTTCTAAAAGGATCATGGAAAGGAAACATAATTATTATTTTTGCATCTTTTTGGATAATAATTGGTGAGCATGGTTAGAAATAATTATATTAAATGAAAAATATCTCTAGATTACACACAACTATTTGTCAGTCAAACAAAATAATCAAAAACTGTTTACAGAAAAATACATTTTTTTCTTAATATTCCTATCTTTTCCTGAATTTTCCATTTTTGAGCAGAATATAACCATCTCTATTGGTTATTCTTTGTGTGTTTCTAAAAAAAAATATAAATTAATTTTAATGTTTTTTAGTTAAAAATATCATTAGAGTATGCAAAAATGTATTTAAGTATCTACTTAAAAATATTATTGCACACTCTAAAAACACTCAAAAATAAATTACATTAAAATTAAGTATGAAAAAACTATAAATACCCACCAAAGAATGACCAGTAAGATCTAATGAAAAAACTATAAATACCCACTAAAGAATGACCAGTGAGATCTAAAAAGTCAAAGTAAAAAAAAAAATCTTATCTTTCTAATCTTCTTCTAACCACACTTAGTACTCCACGAGGCTCATAGCCCTACAAGCATGTGATAGTTGTCACAATTTCCTTATTAAGCTCTCTTTGCTTACTTCACCTCTTCTAACAATATTTGTTTGCTACTTAATTTCTAACAAAAAAAAATAAAAATCAGTTGTTCATCTTTTCTTCTCATACTCTTCTAACAGAAAAATAAAAAATAAAAAAAAAGTAAAAAAAACAAAGTGATACATGATTGGCCCTTTCCCCAATACTATGGCACCAATTAAACCTGTGGCTCCTAATCCTTAGACGAGAACGGTCCACTCTTATTATCCCAAAAGTCTGAACTCAGACAGTAACCATACCAATAATCACAATTTCCCAAACTATTCACGTTTCCTTTGTCCCCTCCCAACGTTCATAAATGAAAACGACCATCGCACCCTCTTCTCTCACAAGCCTCCCTCACCGAACCAACTTGTCTCTCCGTTCATCATCACTTCTCTTTAGGTCTCCATCATCTATGACTACAACGACAACATCCCGTGGGAACATGGCCGTGGCGGCTGCTGCTGCTACCTCTACTGAGGCGTTACGTAAAGGAATAGCTGAGTTCTACAATGAAACTTCGGGTTTGTGGGAAGAGATTTGGGGAGATCATATGCATCATGGGTTTTATGAACCTGATTCTTCTGTTCAACTCTCTGATTCTGGTCATAGGGATGCTCAGATCCGAATGATTGAAGAGTCTCTTCGTTTTGCTGGTGTTACTGGTTCGTGTTTCCTCATTTCCTTCTTTCTAATGTGTCCTTAGACACTTCATTTTTAACATATGGGTAACCCGGGCTAAGTCTTACTAGTCATAGCCCGGGTTAAACATAAAGTATGACACTATTTTGAGTTACCATTAGGAGCGTAAAAATATAAGATACACTTGTGTTAAATATGCTATATTGTTATTAGTTATACAATTAAAAAGAGAGTTCTAAGAACAAAATGATTCTTGAAATCTTGAAATTTTCCACAAAATTCTTATATTTATGGTGTACAAAAAAAATGAATATGGATATTTGTGTTGTTGTAGTGAAATAATGCTATCTGTTAGCCCGTGAGAGGTGGTTTATTTAGCCACGTCCCATCTCTGAGTTTATATTTTTTGTGAACCATATTTTTTCTTTCATGTAATTTTACTCCGTTTTTTTTTTAGCTATTGGAACTAAAGATGATTGCAAAAGTATATATATTTTAATAGGATTTGTAGGTGAATGTATGTTTTCTTAAGTTGATGGCATTAACTTTGAACATGAGCTTGAGTTGATGCTATTTTAAATGATTGTGATTGAAGATGAAGAAGAGGAGAAAAAGATAAAGAAAATAGTGGATGTTGGGTGTGGGATTGGAGGAAGCTCAAGGTACCTTGCATCTAAATTCGGAGCCGAAAGCATTGGCATTACTCTCAGCCCTGTTCAGGCCAAGAGAGCTAATGATCTCGCAGCTGCTCAATCACTCTCTAATAAGGTATTTTCTTGTAGTTTGGGATATAATGAACTGTTTTCTTTCGTATAATTTCATCAATATTGGACCTACAGGTTTCCTTCCAAGTTGCGGATGCGTTGGATCAGCCATTTGAAGATGGAAAGTTCGATCTTGTTTGGTCGATGGAGAGCGGTGAGCATATGCCTGATAAGGCCAAGTTTGTAAAAGAGTTGGTACGAGTGGCTGCTCCAGGAGGAAGGATAATAATAGTGACATGGTGCCATAGAAACTTATCCGCGGGCGAGAAAGCTTTGCAGCCTTGGGAGCAAGATCTCTTAGACAAAATCTGCAAAACATTCTATCTCCCGGCTTGGTGCTCCACCGATGATTATGTCCACTTGCTTGAATCCCATTCACTCCAGGTTATTATATTTCTCACCCTATAATGCCAAAAACATTACTTAGCTTTGGTTTGTTACTTAACTAGTATGTGAAATATATGTGTTTTGTAGGACATTAAGTGTGCAGATTGGTCAGAGAATGTAGCTCCATTCTGGCCGGCAGTTATACGGACAGCGTTGACATGGAAGGGGCTTGTGTCTCTGCTTCGTAGTGGAATGAAGAGTATAAAAGGAGCGTTGACAATGCCATTGATGATCGAAGGTTACAAGAAAGGTGTCATTAAGTTTGGCATCATCACTTGCAAGAAGCCCCTATAAGCTAAAGAATACGGCATCGTTTCAGTGCGTATCAGTTTATTGACATGTACTAGGAAATTGAATAAGACTAGAGTCATCATATCTGAATGCATGACATTTATTTTAGATTAAGTTAAATGTGAGACTGCTAGAGGTATCTCCTCCAAACAATAGATGTCTTCAATATATTGTTTGATAAGTGCACTTATTTTTTGGTTTTAAAATGTTCTATTTAAAAAAAAAAAAGCAAGTTTCATTATCATCTAATTTCAGTTTTTGTAAATAATATCTTATTATTTGGTTTTGAAACTTAAGAATTAACATAATCATGTCACAGAACAAAAAAAAAAAAAAATAGAAGATTTTGGTCATAACACTATTTTACCTAGGCATGGGCGTTCGGATATCGGATCGGGTTCGGTTCGGATTTTTCGGTTTTCGGATTTTTTGGATATTGATTCTAACATCCATTCGGATATTTATAAAATTCGGTTCGGTTTCGGTTTGGATATTTCGGATTTCGGTTCGGTTTGGATATAATTGTGATAATTAAATTTTAACCAAAATTTATTGGATTCGGTTTTATTCGGATATTTTTAAATCATACTATCCAAGTATATATAAAAAATAGAAATGAGGCAAATGACAAGTTCAAAGAACCAACTAACATAATACCATACCAATATATAAAAGTGAAGCATAAAACTGTGTCGATGCATAAAAGCTTTAAATAAACCAAACTAAACCATAAATTTCTAATGAAAAAGTAGCAAAATTCAGTGACATCCTAAATCAATTAAAAATAATTTTTAATTCGATATGCGGCAAACGTATATATCTTAAAGATATTAAAGTATATATTGTATATATCCTAAATATATTAAAGTATATATTATAAGTTCGGTTATATATGGATATCTATTGGATATCGGTTCGGATCGGGTTTAATCCGATATCCAAAAATAATGAAAGCTAACAACCGATCGGTTATTTTTCCAATATCGGTTCGGTTTTAATCCAGTTTTTTCGGTTCGGTTCGGTTCGGATTTTCGGATTCGGATTTTATGCCCAGGCCTAATTTTACCAACAATGCAAATAAATTAGGTTAGGTTGACTATATATTTTCAATCTCATATAGCAGTAGTTTCATAGTAACTTTGACCCTAGTTATCTTTTTCCTCTAAAATGAAAATTCGAAACTTATTTACATATAGATAGCCCTACAAATTTAGATAAGTGAAGCCGAACCAGGGCGGTGTATCCGATTCTCAGTTTATTCAGTTATTAAACAAATATTATCAAAATTAACAGAATTAATAATCGATTCAGTTCTCAGTTTATTTCGGTAGTGAAATTCTACCAAATTGAACCCATTTTTTGGGTTTTCTCAGTTAAAATCATGTAAGATCAGTTGACTTGGATTGGTCAATTTGGTTTAGGTTGATATAAATTTTGGTTTAAATCAGTTCAATTTCGGTATAATTTGATTTTTTTTTTTAATTAAAAAAATTAAATAATCAATCAATTAAGCATAATTTAAAAACCTTCGGAATTAAACCGATTAAGAACCAAAAACCGAAAAATCCATACGGTTCAGGTATAAACTACAGCCCCACAAAAGGTGGTCTCATCGGTTTATGACGTAAACCCGATACCAAACCACTAAACCCTATACTAAACCAGACTACGACCCGATCCAACCCGTAAACGACCCGATCCTATTTCATTTCTCTCTGCCTAAAACTAACCTCAGAGCCAGAACCAATGCTTCAAAGAATCAAAGACCAGTTTGCATTTAAGATTTAAGAATTCAAAGTAACATTCTGATCTAAGACCAATATATATAAGTTACAATGCAGAAAAAATCTAACACCAAATATATACGTTCCTATCTATTCTTCTTCTTCTTCCTCCATCATGCGGAACCTTCTGGTTTCGTAGACATGGTACATCCACACAGGTTGAAGCAAATCTCTTGCAGCCTCCAGTTTCTTCACTACATCTTCATCACTTTCTTCACCAATCTCTCGCTCTATTATCGGATAAATTCTTGGAAGTAAGACCAACATTGTGTCCAGCTCTCTCCACTCTCTATCTTCTCTACTAACCAGTTTCATACATACAAAGTTCAACAATCCTAGAGCTGTACTGAAATCTTTCTTCTCTATACACACTGCAGAACATATCAAGAGGAAATAACCGATTCCATCGACCACTTTGGAGTTACCTTTCACCAATGAAACTATGGTGTTTCTCACTCTTTTGAATGCCGGGAATTGTAGATGGGATTCCGAGGTCTCATCTTCTTTGTTGATTTCAAGTAGTTCAATCTTCGCGAATGTAAAAAGCCATGATGGAAAGCAGAATTTAATGTGGTTGAATGAGCTGGTGTATGAGCTTTCTTCTTCTAAGCTGTTGCTGATGAAACAAGGTCCTAGAGCAAGAACCAAATCTGGTATCCAAGGGTTTAAAGTTGTCACAAGTTTTGATGCATAAGCTGAGCCTAGAGAAATCTCAACCGTGGTGAAGAGATCAAGCAGGTCATTTGCAAGGTCAAAAGCTTCAAATAAAGGGCGAGAAGCTTTGGTTGCATGTCTCATCACTAGGTTTACGAACTTTCCAATATAACTGGTGGAGCTTTTTGTACAGAGAATCATCTCCTTCATATCTGCATCCTCAAATTGTAACTTACCAGTTGAATGGTCGTTCCAAATGGAGATGGTATACTTCAGATATGCAGATGTGAACTTCAACATCCTTGCTTGGAAGTGGGAAGCTAGACCCATCTCGGTATACTCAACAAAAAACTTGAGAATCGCAGTTAGCATTTTGAACTTGTTAAGTACACCTCCTTCCTTTGATCCCTCAAAAGCTGCATCAAACATGAAAACGAGGTCAGAAACTCAAATTCTTTACCAGAAAGTTCTTTACCACAGGCAGAGATTTCATTATCTTGGATAACATGTGGAATGAACTCAACCTCTCCACTCACCATCATCATCACCAGCATTTGAACGTCGTCGTTTCAGTTGGTTGCCCTTACTTGTAGTGGGTTGCATGCTAAGGTTAGCCTCTGGAGATGTGGTGCCTGGCGTTCCACTGTCACCTGCTTGAAATAGTTCTTCTGTACAGTCTAAGATGTGATCCATTGTTTGGTCCACAATATCCTGCTAGAAAACAGAAAAACCTGATAATTAGTGGTCTGATTGTGAGAAGAGGAAGGTATCAAGAGGGAAATCAAAACTTCTTGCCTCAGCAATTCTCATATCATTCTTCTGAGCATCCGTATTAACATTCTGAAGGGCCACGTGCAAAGCAAGAGAAGTGTATGCCAATACTGGGTACACGTCCATATATTTGCAACAAGTGGCTTGCAGAATGCTAGTCTGGGAGACAACTTTTAAGGCAAGGAGTAGCTCCTCAATATCAGACTCGAGTATAGCTTTACGAGCATCTTCAATAGTGAGTAAATCATTTATTTGCCATGCTATTCCTACAGCTACCATATAATCGTCCTCGAAACTGATTGCATGTTTTCCGCTAACATGTTTCCACCTAGCCGAAGATTTTCCAGCGGACTTTGATTTCTTCCTTGTCCTGGAATGCACATTTTTTCTTTCTACTTCGTAGCCAAAATTAATCTGACAACGATACGCAGTCTTCTGCATGATCTTTGTAAAAGTTCCAATGAGGTCACAAAAGGCATTAGAAGACAAGAGTAACTTGTGTACAGACCTCAACTCAGTCTGTCTTCCTGCATCACCAGGCAAACCACCACAACTGACAACTAAATTCATGCAATCTTCTAGGACATCAGAGACAATATCAGGGGAGACCATATAAATGATATCAATGACAGATGACTTAGCCTGTGCAGTGGGTGCAAAATCTAGCAAGCTTTTCAATTTTTCTCCAGGTAACAACTCTTTCAGGGAGGCCATACACTCAGAATCAGCAACCAAATCTTTACAGAGATAGTACGCAGCACGAAACAAGCCTTCAGTCTGGTTCTCCTCTAACTTATCACCTGACAAGATTGAATTCAAGAAGAACCCAACAAGGTGCAGTACAGATTGAACGGTTGCTCCCAAAGATACTAAAAATTCACAAAATCTTGCACCAGCCATTGGTTTTCTGTTTATGAGTGTCCTACATCGCTGGCTTGCCTCCTCAGCTCTCTTTCTTGATGGAAAGTATGATGGTATTAGCAGTCGAGCGATTCCCTTAGCAACATGAGTCTGGTCAGAAGCAAGCACGGATAATAACACATCCAAGCTCACTACCTGAGCATAACAAGAAATTATTTAACCAGTAACTCAAAGAAAGTAAAAAAAAAAATATTGCGCATCTTGAACTGAAAAGGAATGGCCTCCTACCGTGTTAAACTGGAAAGCACGAACATCTCGTAAAAGAAGCAGCAGATCTACCATAGCAACACGTACTGAAGTAACACTATCTAGCATTAAATGCCCAAGTCTTGGCAGAACCACTTTAAGTATGCCATGGGATTGTGGGTTTGCGAGGAGATAACTTATACCATTAACCGTTGAAAGTCTAACTTCACTGCACGATTCATGTGACATATCATCGAAAATTTTGGTGAGGACCTTGGTAATTGTTGCTGATGGGATCACTTCCCAGAAAAGATAGAAAACTCGACAGAGACCTTCCACAGCAACAGACCTCACATCTGGGCATTCATCACTCATCAATTTTTCCAACAAGTAGAACTGTTTGTCAAGCAGGGTATCTTTTGCTTCTTTTGTTGCATCAGGATCCTCCATGGGGAATAGATCCAGAAGCAAATGTAAAGCATTTAAACGAACATTTGAATTTGCAACCTGAATGAAGATAAGAGCAGCAAAATCACTTCCTGCTAAATGTTCAAACAATGTTAACTAAAATACCCATCAAAGATAGTTGAAGATGGCTAGGTAAGTACTAGGTTGTGTATACAACTTATCCCCCCTATGACTCTTCTTAATTTCAGATGAAACCAAAGAAGTTAAGAAACAAACCTATAATGAGCAAAATCAGTTCCTACTAAATATTAATACAATTTTGACTAACATACTTATGAATTAAGTTCCTGGAAACCTAAAGGCGGCTAGGCAAGTTCTAGATAACAGCTCAGCTTATCACCCTTATTATGTTTCTTCTTTCGGCAACAAGGCAAAGAACTTAAAACAAAAACAAACCTGCAATGAGCGAAATATCATGGGCTCAGCAAGGCTAAAGAGAAGCTTCTCAACTCCTTGAGTTGTCCGCTGACTGATAAACCCTCCCAAAACTCTCCTTAAAGAAGCAGCAAAGGCGCACGAACTAGCGTGAATAGAACTATCAATAATCCCCTGCAAGAACCCATCTTCAATCTCACCTTTCAAATCTTGCTCAACTTCTTTCCAAGCTCTAAACAAAATCCCACCAAATCCCTCAAGCACAGATTTCCTCCCTAAAGGAATCTGAGCCTTAACAACAGCAAGACCGGCCTTCATCAACTGTCGACTAAGCCCAAACGCAAAAGAAACAAACTTCTGACCATCTTCAGTCTTCAAATACAAAGGTGAAACCACACAACGCATCAGCAACATCCTCAAATCTTCAATACTCTCATCCTCAAAATCAAACAATGTAAACGCTTCCCTTAGCATATACACTCTATGAACATCTACTTTCTTCTTCAATGTCAACGACCTCGAAAGCAAAAACGGTAACGACTGAGAAATCAGAGACTCTCTTCCCACAAAACCTTCCTTCCACCAACACTCACAGATTCCAGCAATCTCAAGACACAGAACCGAATCAGACTCGAACAGTCTAAGATTATTATGCAAAATTTGAGCAGCGGGAAGTAAATCCGAAGTAGAAAACGCTTTCTTCGGATTCAAAAGACATAGATGAACAACATGAGAAAGAACCTGAAGAGAACCAAGGATCTGGTGCTTACGCTGACCCGAATCCAAACCCGAATCGGGTTCAGATCCGTTACCACGTTGGCGTTTCCGTGGAGGAGAATCTGAAGGAGAAGGGACAGAGGGAGTAGTATCATCATCTTCAACGAGGTTTTGGAAGGACTCTGTGTGTTGGAGGATTGAGTTGTGAAGAGCGAGTGGGAGTGAAGATGAGAGGTCCGACGAGGGTTTCACGGAGTAGATGATAGTTTTCAGCGACGGTTTTGAAGATTTTAGGGTTAATTTGACGGCGGTTGAGATGAATTCGTCGGCGGATGTCTTGAGAGATGACCGGAGCCTTTTCTCCATTTTCAGATTTTCTGCAATTTTTTTGTTAATCCCAGATTTTATTTTCAATTTTAGTGGAACGTTAAAGAGGGAGAAAGAAATTTTTTGAATTTTTTTTTTTTTGTGGACCAATATATCCATTGAAAGCCCAATAGGCATTACAAGTGACGAAAAATACAAGTCTCTTCCATTTACATTCTACCAAAAAAAAATCTCCTCCATTTACAACCTTAATTAAATTAAAACATAGCTTAACCCTAACTAATCTCCTCCATTTACAACCTTAATTAAATTAAAACATATATTAACCCTAACTAAAGAGATAAGATTAAGAAAAAGGTGCCACGTGTTGTCAGATGTTAAACACGCAAGAAGGAGAGGGTAACACAAACGATGTCGTCAAGATCTACGATCTGTCTCAGCTCCGCCGTGCGGCTTTGATATTTCATCACTGGAACTCTTTTACAAATCTCGCCGCTGCTAAACTAGATAATCTCCACCGCTTCCGTCTTGAATTTATGCAAAGACTTTTTCAAATCTTCATCTTCTTAACCCATACTCCTAAACGGAGACTCCCCTAAGACCTAAATAGGTCCACTTCAGAAGAAGCATGACGACGAAGATATTATTACAACCTAAGAGAAGAGTCAAGCAAACAGTATGACGAGAGAGATTCATCCATAGCAAAAGGAGCCAAATAAACACATGTAAAGAGTTTAGATCCAAACTTAACTAAAGTCTGGAATTATTTTAATCCGAGCAAAAGTTGGAAACCAAAAAACTTAATCTATAAACAAGATTAAGAAAGCTAATCCGATATAGTATAATCGGAAGAGAAAAGAGAAAAAAAGATCTGGCCATTCTCTCTCTGAAAGGTTCGAGAGACGTAAGAGATAGAAGGCCAGATTTTTAGGATTTAGGGTTCTAGGGATACGACTAAGAAATTTTTTGAACTTTTACACTATTTCACTGTTACTAAGGAATGCCTACTTGATGACAAAAAATAAAGAAAAAAGAAAAAAGGGAATGCCTACTTTTACACTGAATAAATTTAGTAAACATTTTTAACATCATGACTTCATAGATTGATAACGAAGAGAAAACGGGATACAGTGATGATATGATCCTCTCTCTCTTAACTCACTCTTCTCTTTCAGAGAGAGAGATGGAGATTAACCGGAAAAGATTTCTGGTTTTTTGTTTCCTGATCTTCTTTATATATATGAGATCAGATATAGTTTTCCGTTTTAGACGGATTAATATCCGGCTTAGTTTAGTTCGATCAAGTTATAGTCGTTTTTTCTTATCTTTCTACAAGATGTTTAATCTTAATCCCGCTTATTGTCAGTTGGTTATTATCATTCAACGTCGGCTTAACTCTTTCTCAAGCGACGGAGTAATATCTTCACCATAATTTCTTTGATGTTTAACGAAGTAGACCTCAAAGTTAGGTCATGAGGTGAAGCTTCCATCTTTGGGTTTTGGGTTAAGATGAGGAGTTTATGAATCTATCAAATATCATCGAGCTTCCGACGTTTCTAATCAATTTGAAGAGGCGATTAAATATGTAGAAGGATTTTCAAGTGGCTTATCGGAGTAGTTTAGGCTGATTCTGCTCAAAAAGTTATGGATCTTTAAGAAAATCAGTTGGATGGTGAAGCAGTGATGGTCGAAGCTTGTGGCGGAGGAATAATGTTGGCAAGCAGTGGTGAGTCAACTAAACGCATCATATGCATCACACATGTTTCCAAGGGCTAGTGTAAAAGTTATCAGATATTTTGTTTAATATTAATATGTATGAGTCCAGTCTGTTGGGCTTACTCTGAAAGACCACTTGTACTTCCCTTAACGAGCTTCCATTTTAATGGAATATGGTCGACAAAAAAAAAAGATTGATACGAAGAGGGTGTAGATAAAGTGGCGGTGGATTATTTTACTAGGCTTTTCTCCTCAAATGTGGCTGATTCTTCATATGCTTTTAGAGAAGTTCCAATTTTGGTCACGGACTCGATGAATGAATTCCTCATTAGGGAGGTTTCGAAAAAAGAGGTCAAGCGAGCTCTTTTTGCCTTAAACCTTACAAAAACACCATGACCAAATAGTTTGACAGCCTTTTTCTATCATAAATTCTAGGACTTAATAAAAAAGAATCTCACCTCTATGGTGAAGAACTTCTTTACCTATGGTATCTTTGATAACAGATTAAACAAAACAAACAATACTCTAACTCCAAAAGGTGAAAGACAAGGGGAGATGTCAGGCTTTCAACCGATTAGTTTATGTAACGTTAGTTACAAAGTTATCGAAGATTTTGAGCTTTCGTTTGAAAAGATTCCTCATGGAGCTAATCTCTATTTTGAGTTTATTTTGCAAGTTCAATCACTGGATTTGAGGATACTCTAAGATTAATCCTCGCAGTTTGTTTTGCATCTGTCTCGACAGTTTTGGTCGACCCTTCGTAGATGTTGAGTCATAAACCCCACGACCGTCTTTTACACGAGCCATCACTGACAACAGAACAACAAAAAAATCAAAAACAATCCAAAACCCAATCATATTTGCTCACACACAAACAACAATCTAATTCTAATTCCAAACAGAAGAGTTTCAACGAGAAAGAAGAAGAGTTTCAACGAGGAAGAGAACTTATAAAGAGAAGAATTTCAACAAGGAAGAAAGTCACGACGAGGAAAAACGTCGAGATGATGACGAACGTCTAGACAAGGAAGAAATGAGCGACCAAGAGGATGCTTTCCCATCTTTGTCAAGAAAGGAAGAGAAGAGCTCTAGCGAGGCGACAAAGGAAATGAAGAAGGAGAGAGGATGTTTCGTTTTTACTTTTACATATTTGAGCCAAACATTGTCACTTTTCAAAATTTGGGTAATTGAAGAGAACTGCATTGAATTTAGGTATCCCATTATTCGGGTTTGTGTCGAATATCCTGGTTGGATCCGTAAATGTTCATTTTCAAGGGTTTATGGTCTTTTGCTTCTATTTCGATTTAAAGAAAAAATTGTTTTCCTTAAATAAAATATTCAAATATTGAAAAGGGCTTTGTAGCCTATTTTTTCTCCGGTTGTTTCTTTGTAGATCATTACTCGTTTTACCCATATATGGAAATGCTCATCTCCGACCCTAAACCCTCAAGGAGGGTTGATTTGCAAAGAAAATCAAGCGATGTTGGTTGGTAATTTGGAGTTTTGGTAAATCCCATCAACTTTGACAAAGTGAAATGCAAACTATGTGGAAAAGAGTTTTCAGGTGGAGTTCATAGGTTGAAACAACATGTTGCTATAATACAAGGGAATGTGTCTGGTTGTCCAAATTCCAAACAATTTGGATCCAAACAATTTGCATCCAAGTGGACCAAACAATTCTCGGTACAAACATTTTTATCTAAAATCTCATGTATCTATCTTCTTAGATGAACGACTGAGGTTGCTTATCCCAAAATTTTGCATCCAAAATCTCGTGTATCTTCAACCTAATAAAAACAAAGACATGTGCTCAAAAAACAGACAAGGTTTGCATCATAAAGAAAAACCAGACAAGATCTGCAACATGAAGTACTTCTTAAACAGGGAAACACTAATTATAACAACAAGTTACCAAATGAGATTGCTTTGCATAGTCATTTCATAGTAAAAAAAAAAAAGCTCTGAATTTGCAAGGAGTTTGTCAAATAATTTATGATTTGAAAGCTTCTCTCTCACTGCCCAATCATGCTTCTTCATCTCTCATAGGCTCTAAAACTCTTTAGCGCTTATCTTGATGCTTTTACCTATAGCTTTTGCAGGCTTAACACCAGGAAGACGAGTCTCATTAGCTTCCCAGGTATCTAGGTGAGAACTGAAAGACTGTTCACTTGCCTTATCAACTTTTCTTCTTTTTTTCCCACCACCATCTTTAGTAGCAGAAGTTGAGCACCATTTCTGGTCATGCCGCATCTCCCTCCATGCATGGTCAAATGTGAACCTCACTTGGTGATCGTAGAAGAAGATAGCATTAGCCGTCATCACATCATTGTCATTCTAACCACTTGATTGCTCTTTCTCAGCAGTCTCATAACATCCTACAAATTTACATACTTGGTCATTCAACCTTCCCCACCTTTGCTTGCAGTAGCTAGCTTCTCTAAGTTGCAAACCAACAAGCCGTGGACTTGAGTTATGAAAAACTCCTACTTTTTTTACGCTTCAGCTCGGCCACAAACGGTGTCTTTAACAAGTTCGATGATTGCCTTTTTTGCTTCTTCCCAGTCCGATTATAGTTCCACTCAACTTCGAATTCTTCTTCGTTTTCTTGTTATTATCCATCTCTAGACCATCATCTCAAAAATTTTAAACAAACAACAAACCAAATAAATCAATATATCCAAGAATCAAACATACCCAAATAGTCACTTATATCCTTCCCATTTATAGATATTGGATGAGGTACTCTAACATAAACAACCAAATCCTTTGATTTCTCACTATGCATTTGTGTCTGACTCTACAATGGTGTCTGACTATGCATTTCCGTCTCACTATGTATTTTTGTCTGACTATCCAATGGTGCTTGACTATGCAATAGTGTATGACTATTCCTTTGGTGGTTGACGTTGCATGGCCGTTGAAGCAATGATTTCAAGAGCTTCTACCCTCACATTCATTTCATTGATCTTCTCCATAATTTCCTCAAATCTCTTCTACATCCCTTCGTTTAGGGAGATAATAGATGAAACCTCCTCTTGGACTACATTTTCAATTTGAGTTTGAGGTTCTTCATTTCTAGGTTCAGCGACTTCTTCAACGTTCTAAGAAATACTTTGAGACTCCAAGTCCAATACGTAGAGATGTCTTTACCATATGTTATTCTTCTCTACCATTAATCGCTCTCTCCAACTATAAGCGATGAGATCCATAGTACCAATCTAATCATCAACGTCATTGTCTACACAACGCATTATAAGAGACTTCTCATCTTAGTCAAGAACCAAGATGCTAGTCATATCCTATGAATGGAAATATTTTTAACTTATATA